TTTCTGCTCCTTATTTTCGAGCAATCCCTAGCTTTCTCCCAATTGCCATCTGACTGGCTAAATGCTAACGTAGTACCCATCTTCAAATCAGGTAATCCGAATGAGCTAAAAAATTACAGGCCCATCTCACTGACCAGTGTGTCATGCAAAATTTTAGAGCACATTGTCTTTAGCAGCATAATGTCACATTTCGATAGTAACGATTTGTTGTTCTCTGATCAGCATGGCTTCCGCAAAAAACTGTCTTGTGTTACCCAATTATTCGAACTCACCCACGATCTTCGTAGCAATATGCACTCTTTAAAACAAATGGATGCAATATTCATAGACTTCTCAAAAGCTTTTGATCGTGTTTCCCATAACAGATTAATACTTAAGCTCCTCCATCTAAACGTCAGTAGTAACCTTGTCTCGTGGATTCGGGCCTTCCTGTCTCATCGCACCCAATCTGTGATTGTCGATAATGTCACCTCCTCTCCATTGAATGTCATCTCCGGCGTTCCTCAGGGTTCAGTTCTAGGCCCACTTCTTTTCCTAATTTATATAAACGACATTGCTTCTTCCCTCTCTTCCACCGTGAGATTGTATGCTGACGACCTTGTGCTCTATCGCAAAATTTCTTCCATCAATGATTGCATAATTCTACAAGACGATCTAGAAAAATTAACGACCTGGTGTGAATCTTGGCTCATGACGATTAATCTGGATAAATCTAAAATTATGTCGTTCTCCAGATCAAAAAATAAGGTCGCTAACACTTACTCTATTTCATCTTGTGAACTAGAATGTGTAGCCACATTTAAATATCTAGGAGTGTTCCTTTCTGCAGACTTGTCATGGAAGTGCCACGTCGACTATATCTGCTCTAAAGCAAATAGAACATTAGGATTTTTAAGAAGACATCTTTATCTTGCAGACCCGTATGTCAAACGTTTAGCATACACTACATTAGTTCGGACAAAACTGGAATACGCGTCCATCATGTGGAATCCTCATCAATTGTATGTCATTAACCAACTCGAAGCTGTCCAAAATCGCGCCACTCGTTTTATTACTCGCGATTCTTCTCGAAAAAGCATTTCCTGTCTAAAACAGTCCCCATATCTCTCCATACACTCGAAACTCGTAGAAAAAACGAACGGCTCTCTTTTATGCACAGACTATACCCATGGTCACCAAAAACATTCATTTTCCCGGCTCATCATATTTCCTCTCGCCTAGATCATCCATGTAAAGTCGAACCCATTTTCTCTAGAACGCCTACAAATACTCACCTCTCCCTCTATGCATTTCTGAATGGAATAGCATGCCCTGAAGCCTGGTGACAATGTGTGACCATAACCATTATACGCAGGAGCTTGTTAAGTTGTTTGAGTAATCTCTGTATAATGATGCTTTCTTATTGTTCTCATTCAATGTTTTCCCCAATTTTTGTGAATTTGATGTACCCCCCTAATGTAATGCCTCACATAGAGGCCCTTAAGGTAATAAAATGAAAATGAAATTAAATGAAAAGATAGACGTTGCGAGCGTTCAGGATTGCTAAACTAATCACTTTTTTTCGGTGATGAAAATACGTCAACATTCGCATCCTTTATACGGTACGCGCCAGTAATACCTTGAACTTGAGCACATGCATGAAATGTGCCAAATAAGAAATCCGGGCGATGTTCGAGGAAAAATGCTAAGAAAGCACCACTGTAGTCGAAGTAAACAAACACGATGGCACGGGCGTTTCTGCTGTCTTGAGAGTGCCGCCACGACATCGCCGCACAAGTAGGTGGATCTTCCCTTCTAGTACGTGCTGGGTTATCATAGCGACACACAACGAAAATGAGCTTTTATAGCGACACACAACGGAACGATGAGCTTTCATCACACCGTCCATGTCGACGATCACCACCGACGCCACGTTTGCAGTTCATGAAACGTGCGCTTCCGTGCACCCCGAGGGAACGGGAAATTCACCCCCCACGGAGGAAGGCAAGGAGAAAACGTAGTCCCTTGTTTGTGAAATGATAATTGCAGTATCGCGTATGCTAAACTAGAACTATTTTACGTCTTGTGGAATTATCATGCACAACATATCTAAATGAACTGAGAATTGTTTCTTTAGCGAAACTTTACAAAGGCCGCCAGAATTTTCAAACATACGATAATTTCATTAATCGGCGCAGGGACAGAAAAGAGTCCGTATGTGTTTTATTCCTGCGTGATTAATACGCAGTTCTGCCTTCTAAAACTGAAGGTACTCATTCACTGACACTTCCTTAATGCCATCGCACCAAAAAGTAGCTTCCCCAAAAACCACTTGAGTGCCCCTTTAAGCCCATAAAGTTTGCGCAGCACAGGAGGTGAGATAGACGAAAGTTGTCACACCTAAAACGCTTTCTTAGCGGTAAGAAGTGTGGCAGAAGCCCATGGTCACCATGGCATAGGTTCACCCTCGGGTAAAAGAACAACCCACTTTACAGTACAGGAGGCATTTGCGGCACAATGAAACTGCTAAAACCCTTCAAGTCTTCCCTTTAAGTCTTGAGCTACTGAACCATGCAATGGTACCCCAGTGTAGGAGAATATGTGTGTGTTTGGACCACACCGTAATTAGGACCGGAGCGGTTCAGCAATACCCACCGAGCAATGAAGCTCGATTCAACAGGTAGTGCCATCTCATCTGAAATTTTCGCAACTCTGTGACAACCTGTGGCTGCGATCGTTGGACGCGATCTTGTGCTCGAACGTCCGAGTGCCTTGCCGAACTGGGACACAGCGCTCGTGTACAATCATTCGGTGGCACGGCCTTCCCAACGTTGCTTCTTTTGGCCACCAGCCGCACTGACCAGCAGCTGACCTAGATGCCTCCTGTTCGCTGCTCTGGGGCTATGGAGAGAATTTGTGAGGCCGCACGTGTATACAGTGCCTGGTGGCACTGCAGCCAGTTATAACTGTAGAAAGTCGCTGCAGACGGCCAAGTTTGGCCGAAAGTGTGTTGGGCGTTCGCAACCGTTCGAAACACTTTTCTTTTCGTTGTCTCGGTCTTGCCCCCATCGGCTGTGTCTGCGAGCTTAATACCATTTTCTAGTTTTGTCTGTTTGACCAGAAATGCTTTGAATGTGGTATGTCGTTCTTTTTGTGTGGCAAGTCGGCGCGTTACGGTAACGTAAAGTGCCCTTGACGATTCAGTGACAAAACAGCTACTACAAGCATGGCTGTCAAACGGGCTACACGCACATGAAAAGTGAGAAGACTGTATATTTTTAGCGTTTCAGGAGTCAAGAAAAGCTGCAGGCGACGCTGGGAAAGAAATTTTTAAGAACAGGAAAAATGTTTTAAACAGTGCAGCACCATACGACAGCTGCATTTCGAACACCAATACCGAACGACACGTAAATAGACCCTTTGCAAAAATCCCAGAATCCCGCGTGCGAAGTGCTGCAGGCACCCCCATGCCCCCCCTCCCCCCCCTCACATCGTCTACCATGGCTATGTTCCAAATCTTACCCGAGTAACCTGCCTCCTACGTCAGCGGGTAATACCACGTGACATCGCGAGTAAACGATCCGCGACTCGATTTTGGAACGGCCAGGATAATCACCTGGATCCTACGCGGATTGGCTTCGTCTTGGGCGACGGCAAAAAGAAAACGCAGCAGCGATGGCAGAAAATAGCAGACGATCCTTTTGATCATGGAGAAAGCACTCGAAGAACGGTAATGTTAATGACGACGCGGTGTATTTTGAGGTGGATCCACCAGCTCCTTTTACTCACCTTCGTTTTGAGCTGTATATTGAGATCAAAATTACTTACTCCTTACAGCTAGACATAAAAAAATGTGTTTTTATTAATCAGCGCGATCGCTGCAATTCTAGTCACGGTGCCCTAAACGCATATATTCCACGCATTGTAATTTGCACCGATTATGTTTTGCAGAAATACATTCCACACGGTGTAGCGGTTCAGTGCGAGGGTGCTTTCTCCAGAATATGAAACTCACGTTCGCTTTGACGCGAATGTGATTACAGTGAAATTTTCGAAGCCTTACTGCTTTACAAACGTTATCCTCTCATTACACACACTCTGGAGGAAACAAAAATATTACATTATCATATATCGAGTTCAAACATTTTCGGCCTTGAACGTGAGATTACGGCATTCCCCCAACGCCGAGGACGAGGATGCGGAGAAGCTCCTGTTTACACTCGCACTCAGATAATAACAAGTACACGTTCCCGGGAAGGTGGACGGTCTGGATGTAATGCAGTCAATTCCTGCGTTGACAACAGCAAATCGCAATAACCACACATGCTGCACCTAATTCTTTGTCATTTCGAACGTCCGCCACCAAAACCAACGGAGCAAGCGAGCTTTGACGGCTGTCGGCGCAGAAAGCAGACGACGAACAGATCACGTGACGTATTTACTCGATTTGATCTGACTTTACCCCCCGATAGAGGAGGGTAGCGCGAGTAATTACTCCGGAGTAAACAACCCGCTTCTGGAACGCGAGTTCTGACGCCATCGAGTAAGCTCGAGTAAGTTTTGGAACGCCACGGTACGAAACTTTTACTCCGGAGTCGGATCGAGTAAATTTTGGAACACAGCCCATGTGACACTGAAGGAAGTGAGTGAGGAAGAGGGTAGCGCAATTTCTCGTGAGCCCTCTTTTAGCAGACGCTTCCGTCGTCTGCTACAACCGGTTCTGTACCTAGAGTTCCCGTCATTCCTTTTGGCACCGCGGCCGGTGCTGTGTGTTGCAACGGGCCTATTTCGTATTCTCGCTCCGATCGCCGCGCACGCGCACAACCAACGCGCCGGCATCGGTACCTATCGTCATCTCCGCCTCATGCGAGCCGCTCCGGTCCCAACACTGTCCCGTTTCAGTACAAGTTTCCTGAGCATCACGCGCCAACTAGCCCGAGAGCAGGTCTCGTACACTGTAGTGGCAGCTGTCCAGCGGCCGTGCCCTGGCGTTCGAACACTGAGGACGGTTGTTGACTTACCCTGGTAGGGTGATCGCACACCGTGATGCCGGTTTTCTTCTCTAGCATCTTGGCACATCTTGTCAACTTGCGATCGGCTTTTCTTTCTGCCTTAGTTCGCTTCGCGTTGCTCCGAACGTTCTGTGCACTTATCACTTCGGGCGCCGCCATGTTCTTAACGTAGTTGCTAGACGCCGATCCGTAGCCGGCTAAAACTAACTAAAACTAGACATTTGAACCCCGTAAGTGTTGACGCGGTGACGCTCCAAACAAACTCTTGAATCGCCCTCGGGTCGCAGAGGGCGGCATGACAATGTTCATGTTTCGTCAGGCAACGGTCACAACGGCTTGCAGCACCGCCATATTACGGTGCCTGGAGCGCGTCTCCGACTGGTGTGTTTAGCGTCCTATCCCGCCCATACATCAAAAGTGGTCCCAAAGTGGCAACAAATGACGTCACAGAAGCCGGAGTGTCATGCTCAAGGAGGTTAGAAGTACTAGGAGGGGGCACGTTGTGATATTGGTGAAGCATAGTCATAAAAAGTTTAAACGACTTTGTGCCCAGCGTGACCGCAGATCTGTCTGGTGCAGGGTGTAAGATAGACAGGTGGGGAAACGAGAGCCGAATGAGCGACCGCATTGTGTCCCCCTCGGTTTTCTCTTTTTCTGTGGCGCCATCTATGTTGAGCACCGCGAACTCTCACTCCGGGTGGGCGACCGATGGCGACCGGCTAAACTGACGGAGATGGTTTCTCGTGGATTTTCAATGGAGAACTTTCGTGTTCTCGGTTTAAAATCCGATTCCGATTTTTTTCTTCTCGCCGCAGCGCCATCTGTCGCAATTCGGGGGTACCCGGAAGCAGACGAGTACACAATCCGGTCACGGCGCTGCGGTAGGCTTCAATCAACGTTACTAAAACACTCAGTTGGGAAACTCCCATAGAGACAGCTTTGAAGAAGTGGCCCCAATCTGTCTCCGAGCACCGAGCTAATGACGAACACAACGCCACCATTTCTCCCGCAGCGGCTACTCGAAAAACTGCACGTGACTTCTATTTTTGGCTTTAACAGAGGTGAACCCCCGTCTCCCCGGCGGACGCGCCGCGTCGAACTGCCGAAGTTAAAATGCACCTAGGTCTGGACGCGCTACCTGAAAGGCCCGCTGAGGCATGGTTGTATAAAAACAATATTAATTGTTCCGCAAAACCTTGCGAACTAAAGATGATAAAAACATCACGCGCCCATCATATGGTACTAAACTCCAATAAATTTCATACAAAAAGAGTCTTTTCCGTTTGTTTTTACGCAAAAAACAGGCTTTCAAAAAGCTCGAGTGACCATAGTACAGACAAACGAAAAAGAGTGGCGCTGTTGTCGCATTTAGCTCGGTCTCGGTGGACGCCAGCGGCCCAGGTTTCGACGGCGAGTTTCCCAACTGAGTGTTTTAGTAACGTTGGCTTCTATGCAGGGGGGTAAAGGTGGGTGAGGAGGAGTGGCAAATCCCGTGCGCCGACATCCTGGGTCCCGAGTGAACGAACGCAAAAGAGAGCGACAGAACACAAGATAAAGAAAGCAACGTTGCCATGGTAACGCGAAGAGTGAAAACTCTCAGCAATATAAACAGTGATAATTTAACGTTGTAAATTAAATTCTGAGCTATTCTAACGCTTATAAAAAGCAATAAAGTCATTACGCGGCATTAACTTCCCTTCTGTCGAAATCTCGGAAATCTGGTGGTTGCGCAGTTTCGTATTCCTCAACCGCGCCCAGCCGCGCCCCACCGGCGAAGCCGGGTATATGGTTTAGTTTAGCGTTAACGCGAGGCCGTACATCTGCGCGCTTTTCAAAAAGAAAGCTGCGAAAGCAACGTGAATATCTTTCCACCGGTAAGTTCGTGGATTGTTGAAGTTCACGAAACTGCTCTGATGATGTAACCGTGTTTGGGACCCCGAGGGTCTGCCCGCATGATCCGCCGCTTGCGGCAGCCAGAATGTATGGGAAAATGGCGGACCTTTTCCTCTAGAGTTAGTATGTATGATCTCTATGCTTCTATGGGCCGTTTCCCCACCTGTCTATCTTACACCCCGGTCTGGTGATTGGTGCGCGTGACATGTCACGTGCAAGATGGATGGTTGATTACAGGAGGATTCCTTGCAGGCTTGCGCGCGCTCCGTCCGGTAGGTTTTATCAGATCGAAGGCTAGCTACGGTCACGTGATGTGGTGAGAGCAAGGCGGAAAATGAGAAAGAGGCGAGGCGTCAAGGGAGCATGGCTTGCGGAGGCTACGCGACTGACGTCATGCCCTCTCCTACCCTTCTATTCTCCATGGTCATGCTGCAGTGTCGATGTCGTCACGGCGTCCCAGGCGTCCCAACTTCCTGCTGTTGTAGCTTCCGTGGACTGTCGAAGTGAAGAGCGACCCGCAGCAGAATAAGCGTCTGCTACATCCACCGCAGCTGCTGAGACACCACCGGGGTCGCGACCGGCGACAGCATGACACTTCTATGACGTCATCAGGCGGAAATCGAGGGACCACTTTTTTGGACGCGGTAAACACACCAGTCGGAGACGCGTTCCCGGCACCAAAGTTTAGGTGGTTTCGATCCAAACCAACGCTTTTTTTGTGCGCGCGTAGACGCTGATTCTTTGCGGAACCGTGCGGATCTAACTCAAACCCCGACCAGGGCGCCCCTAGCGGCAAACGGGTCCGTTGCATCGGGAGCTTCTGCCAGTCGCTGCGTTGGTTGTGCGTTGTACTGGGTTAGCCAGGTTAGCGCTGTAATTCCTGAGATGGCTATCCGCACCAAGAAAGCCGCAACAATTGCTGCGTGTTCGGCTGCAACAGTGCGTCGAAGATCGCGCACGGCACGAAGTACTACATCGTCCCTTCGAAGCCTTACGAGGCGGAGTACTGCGCGACCTGAGTGCGACTTGTGCGTCCATACAGGTTAGTGGCGTTCCTTACCTTCCAGTTCGCGCTTTGTTTAAGCTGCTGACGAATAATACAATTAACTTTTTTTCTATTCTAGCGACGATGGAACAGCATCGACACCGACGGCAAACTCTAAAGTATGCAGCAAATACTTCACCGGAATCGAGAAGCGGAATGCGGTGCCCACATAAGCCTACCCTTGGATGTTTCCATCAGCCTACAGGAAGGTAGTGGGAATAGGCGAATAGGCAGCCGGCAATGGCCAGGCGGCGCCACGATAGTACTGCATTCAGCGCCACAAGCGGCGGCGCCTCTGTTACTGGGGCGGCCTATCTGCCCGCCGGGCCGTTGCGAGCGGCGGCGACCCCGATTTCAGCAGTCCCCGTGTGCACCTGCGTGCGTCCCTGGTTTTTTCATGCGGTTTTTTAAGACCATCGGGAGCCTTGATAGGTCCAAGTGTTTAGAGAATATTCTAGAGTCGTCATCTGGACACCAGTTTGAGTTGTCTTCACTACTTGTGGCCGCCCGATCGGTCTGTGCTTCGCTCGTCTCCCAGGAAGTGACACGATAGAACGAGAAGACAGCGAATAGGTTTATTGTACATCCCGGTTGCCCGTCTTCGAGAGCCGGCCGTCCGGACCCGCCGACCCTAGTTGTCGCCCGTCGTTCAGAGCTCCCAGTCGGAGCCCGTGTCCAGGGGGGCTATGTTGCGCTTTTTGCACTCCCAGCTGGAGACTTGGAAGAGGGAAGTGACGTCAACGACACAGCAAACGCAGATTGGATGTTGACAAAAGAAAACGAAATCAACACCCAATCTGCGTTTGCTGTGTCGTTGACGTCACTTCCCTCTCCCTAGTCTCCTGGGAGTCCAAAAAGCGCAACATAGCACCCCGGGCCTGCGGATCGTCCTTCCCACGCCAGTACGGCGTAGGCTAGCTGTTCCGGGCTATCACAGTCAGTCTCGCTGCGGAACCACTACGGGATCGTCATAGCCCAGGCCGGTATGGCCAGGGATCGCCGCTTCCGCCAGTCCTGACCCGAACTTCGCTGGTGGAATGCTCCCGGGAATCGCCATGGGCCAGACCAGCCAGAACAGCTCTATCGTTCCTGCCCGGTCCCAGCCTCGTGCAGCACGCTCTTCCTCTTTCCTCGCCGGCTGGCCCCGCTCGCGCCTTGCTCGGCCGTCCTCTCCTCCCGACGGCCACACACACTAGAATAAAATTTGGAACTCAGCATGCTACATAACCGTACGCACATCGCAAAGCCTGGTGCACCGTGGCCTGGTGTAAAAAGGCGACAGGCAACGAAGTGTACGTGGAAGGATATTTACGCTTCGCACGAGCTTTTTCCTAACAAAAACATTAGCAGCCTGCTTTCTGCACGCCGTCACATTTGTTACTAGACTCAGCATTAAATTTGGTTGCTGAAACAAACAAAACTTTGTGCTACGAAAATCCACTCGCAGGTTTGGAAGGTTTTGGTTGCGACCACGCATGCCGAACGGCATTAGCGGTGCCGGAACGGGCCGACGGGCCTTTCGCTTGAAGACCTGATCGCCCGATTCTCGACTTCACAGCGAAGCAACAATCGGCCCGATTGTTCCTATCGTATTTCCCTATGTGGCTGTCAAAGCGGGTGTATCTCGAAACAACCCTTTCCGATTTGAACCCTTCTCGTTTTAGCCCATTCGCAAAGCGCCCTTCGCGTTTTAACCTTTCGCGTTTCAACCCTTTCTCATTTGTACCCGTCTCATTTGAACCCATTCTCATTTGAACCCATTCGCAAAGCGCCCTTCGCGTTTTAACCTTTCGCGTTTCAACCCTTTCTCATTTGTACCCGTCTCATTTGAACCCATTCTCATTTGAACCCATTCGCAAAGCGCCCTTCGCGTTTTAACCTTTCGCGTTTCAACCCTTTCTCATTTGTACCCGTCTCATTTGAACCCATTCTCATTTGAACCCATTCGCAAAGCGCCCTTCGCGTTTTAACCTTTCGCGTTTCAACCCTTTCTCGTTTGTACCCGTCTCATTTGAACCCGTTCTCATTTGAACCCGTTTTCATTTGAACCCATTCGCAAAACGCCCTTCGCGTTATAACCTTTCGCGTTTCAACCCTTTCGCATTTGGACTCGCCTCATTTGCACCCGTTCTCATTCAAACACAGTATTCCAAACCATTCGCCTAACGCTCTTCGCGCTTTAAGCTTTTGTTAATAGGGAGTTTTCGTAGACCGCGTTGGCCCCCTCCGCTAAGCGTTCCGCAACGAAGAAGTTGCTACT